ATTTATTTATTTATTTATTTTATATTTATTTTGAGACAGAGTCTCACTTTGTTGCCAGGCTAGAGTGAGTGCCGTGGCGTCAGCCTAGCTCACAGCAACCTCAAACTCCTGGGTCAGCGAATCCTCCTGCTCTGCCTCCCGAGTAGCTGGGACTACAGGCATGCGCCACCATGCCCGGCTATTTTTCTATATGTATTAGTTGGCCAGTTAATTTCTTTCTATTTATAGTAGAGACGGGTCTTGCTCTTGCTCAGCTATCTCCCCCCCAAATAAATAAAAGCCTGTTAGAGACACGACTGTGCACGCACCAGTCAGGGGCCAGTCAGGAGGCACCAGACCGAGTCCCCCTGCGGCCCTGCCCCAGAACTGCACTCAGCACCTGAGCTCCCTGTCTCTAGCTTTCGGGCTCTGACAGTGGAGGGCGCCGGCAGGAGCCTGGGGGGGGGGTGGGAGGACAAGGCGTGGTGTTCTCTCTCTGGTAGTAGCTCTGTCCCCCAAAGCCTCGGCTCTTCCTGGACCTATTCCCGGGGTGCCGGCTGTCCCCGGGCTGCAGTCGCACTGGTTCCTCCCCTGGCCCCGAAGCCCTGGGGATAGTAATGCTCCCCGGTAACTGCTAGTCTCTGGGTGCCTTGGAGTCCCCTCCCTGCTTGTTGCCTGCACCTCAGCCACACTTCTGTAAGCAGCCTCTTCCGTTAAACTGTGTTGGGCGAGGACTTCCTGACAGGACCCGGACTCCAGCCGTTTTCCGTTCTCTTTGTAGAGCCAGAACAGCCCAGCATTAAAACCTGACAGATGCCATAAGACAAAATGAGTGAATGAGTCACACACCAGCCTCATTTACATAGATGTAAAGTCCTAATAAAAATGTAATCAGATTAAGTCCAACCTATGTCCAACAATGTATTGAAAGAATACTCCAAGAGCAAACATTCTTGGAATGTGTATCAGAACTGCAATAAACTGATTTACCACAGCAATAGGTCAAAAAAGATATTTTTACATGCTGAATAAGTGTTTGGTAAATCTCAACATCTGTTCCTGATTTTTTTAATTTAAAATTTTAATTTAATTTATTTTTTTAGAGACAGGGTATCATTCTGTTGCTCAGGCTGGAGTGAATGGCGTGATCATAGCTCACTGCAACCTTGAATTCCTGAGCCCAAGTGATCCTCCTTCTTCAGCCTCCAAAGTAGCTGGGACTACGGGTGCACACCACCACATCTAATTTTTATTTTTTTAGAGATGGGGTCTTGCTATGTTGCCGTTGTTCTAAAGATCATAGCTAATACAATTGGATAGAAAATATAATCAAAGAAGAGGGAAACAAATTATAATTATTTACAAATATGACTGTCTTCTCAGAAAAAATCTAAGAAATACAAAATTATCAAAATAGAAGAGTTTAAGGCCAGGTCCGGTGGCTCATACCTGTAATCCTACCACTCTGGGAAGCCAAGGCAGGAGGATTGCTTAAGGCCAGACATTTGAGACCAGCCTGAGCAAGAGTGAGACCTCATCTCTAAAAAAAAAAAAAAAAACAAAAAGATAGAAAAATTAGCTGGGTGTGGTGGTGCACACCTATAGTCCCAGCTACTCAGGAGGCTGAGGCAGTGGGAGAATTACTTAAGCCCCGGAGTCTCAGGTTGCAGTGACCTAGAATGACACCACTGCACTCTAGCCTGGGGTACGCAGCAAGACCCTCTGTCAAAAACAAACAAACAAACAAACAAAAAAAAAAAAACAAAGAAGAAGAAGAAGAGTTTAGTAAAGTGGCCAGTTATAAAATAACCACACAAAAGTTAACAACAGCTTTTCAATTTCCTAATAAACTGTTAGAAAACCATGAGGCAAAAAAAGAGAGGCTATATTAGTTATCTTAACAAATTACCCCAAAACTTAGCAGTTTAAAACAACAACATTTATTATCTGACAGTTTCTGTGGGTCAGGAATGCTGGTATGGTTTGGCGGTCCTCAGACTCGGAGTCTCAGGGGCAAACACTAAGGCGTGAGTGAGCCCAGGCGGCAGGCTCAGCTGGGGAAGGGTCTGCCGCGCAGCTCGCTCACACTGCTGGCAGGCCCTGCCGCCCGCCAGCCGCCTGCCAGCCCTCCGCGCCTAGCGCCTCAGCCCGCTGCTGGCGGTGGGCCAGCGGCCGCCCCAGCTCCTCAGCTCCTTGTCACACGCGCTTCCCCTAAGGCAGCTCACGACACCGCAGCTGGTTTCATCAGAGCCACAAGCAAGAGGGCCAGGGGAGAAAATAACAGCAAGACAGAAATTACAGTGTTTTATGACCTAATCTCAGAAGTAACAACCCATCATCAGCCTCCGCCATGTTGTATTCCTTAGAATCCAGTCACCAGGGCCAGTCTATACCCAAAGGGAAGGGGTTGATTACCAGAAGGCACGGGTCACTGGGAGCGCATCAAACATGTATGTCCACCTACAAAATAAAACTTCACTGAAGAATGACAATTAAAAAGACCTCCCCTCCCTCCTTCCCCCACTTCCTCCCTCCTTTCCCTCCTGCCCTCGGTCCCTCCTCCTCCCTCCCTCCCTCCCTCCCTCCCTCCCTCCCTCCCTCCCTCCCTCCCTCTCTCTCTCTCTCTCTCTCTCTCTCTCTCTCTCTCTTTCTTTCTTTCTTGTACTATGCAAAGGGCTGCCATTCTGATTTTTCTTTTTTCAGGTTTAATCCTTATTTTAATAAATGTTTTTAAGCAAAAAAAAAAAAAAAAGACCTCAATAACAGAAAGATATGCCATGTTCCTGGATAGGAACACTCAATGTTGCAAAGAAGTTGATTATCACTAAATCAATCTACACATTTAATACAATTACAATTCTCAAAGAGATTTTTATTTGCTTATTTAACCTGGCAGGAAAAAAAAGTCTAGAGTTCATCTTAAAGAATATGTAAATAACAATAGCAAAAGAACTTAAAAGATGACTGTATTCTCAGTCATTAACCCTTATTAAAAAGTCACAATTATTAAAATAGGGCAATAAACACCAGTGTAAGAATGATGTGACAGACCAATGGAACAGAGTGCAAGCCCAGTCAAACACATGAAAATATTCAGTAAATGATAAAATGGCCTTTTGGATCATTGGGAAATGATGAATGCACTTATGATTCATGTTGGGATAGTTGCTTAGTTTTCTTTAAAGTTACATTCTTACCTCTCACCACACATGAAAATAAAATAAAGAGTTTAATATAAAAAAAGTGAAATGAAATCATAAAATCATACAAGAATATTTAATTAAAAATGTATATATTCTTGGTGAAGGCCAAGGTTATACAACAATAAAGTCTGAGTTTAATAATTTGACAGCTTAAAAATGAAGCACTTTGGCACATCAAGAAAGTATTGAAAATATTGATGCAAATGACAAATTAGTTGTAAAATACAGCGACAAAAAGTGATATATGAAAATGTGCTGACTATAATACATCTTATAGACCTATACTGAAAAGAGGAGCATTACAATAGAAAATAGCCAAAGGATATGAATGGAAAATTCACCATTCATTCATTCACTCAACCAGCGTATATTGGGCACTTCTTATGTGCCAGACAGAATTCCAGGTACTTGGGACACAGCACAGTGAACACCAGGAAGCAGACACTTCAACAAAGCCTTGAACGAGTGCAGGAGTGGCCGTCCAGACCAGGAGAAACAGCGCGGTGTGCCATGGCGCTGGGGGAGGCCATGGTGCTGGGGGAGGCCATGGTGCTGGGGGAGGCCATGGTGCTGGGGGAGGCCATGGTGCTAGGGGAAGCCATGGTGTTATGGAGGCCATGGTGTTATGGAGGCCATGGTGCTGGGGGAGGCCATGGTGCTGGGGGAGGCCATGGTGCTGGGGGAGGCCATGGTGCTGGCGGAGGCCATGGTGTTATGGAGGCCTGGTGCTGGGGGAGGCCATGGTGGCCGGTGACCACAACAGAGAGAGCAAGGGACCAAGGGCGGCGACCCTGGAGACCATGAGAGGTCTTTGGCTTCTATCCCGATGAAATGGGGAACCACTGCAGGGTTTTTAGCAGAAGAATGCAATTTTGACTTACATCTCAAAAGAATCATTTGGGCCACTGTCTTAGAATAGAGTCTAGGATACAGAAGTTGAAACAAGATGAGCATTTGGGAAGTCTAAAAACACAAGACAAAATGTTCACTCTCACAGGTAACCAAAGAAATGCAACTAAAAAAATGTCTTTGTTTTTAACTTATCCAACTTTTTATTTTTTATTTTTTTGAGACAGAGTCTCACTTTGTTGCCCAGGCTAGAGCGAGTGCCGTGGCGTCAGCCTAGCTCACAGCAACCTCAAACTCCTGGGCTCAAGTGATCCTTCTGCCTCAGCCTCCACAGTAGCTGGGACTACAGGCATGCACCACCATGCCCGGCTAATTTTTTGTATATATATTTTTTAGTTGGCCAATTAATTTCTTTCTATTTCTAGTAGAAAGAAAATATGGGGTCTTGCTCTTGCTCAGGCTGGCTTTGAACTCCTGACCTCGAGCAATCCGCCCACCTCAGCCTCCCAGAGTGCTAGGATTATAGGCATGAGCTACCACGCCCGGCCTTAACTTATCCAATTTTAATGCTCTTTTTAAAAACATTCCCCAGTATTGGTTAGGGTCGGGGCACTCCAGGCAGGTACATGGGGACCACCTTTCTGGGGGCAACTGGGTATTTGGTGCCAAAGCCTTAAAAACATTCAAACCTTTTCACCAGAAATCCAACTTGCAATAAATGAATCTAAGGGACTAATAACAGCTGCTGCTGACGGAGTGCTCATACCCACCAGGCTTTGTGCTAAATGCATCCACATGTTACCTCATTTAAATTTTTACCATCACTCTCATTTTACAGGGGAAAAAGGCGCAGGAAGTTGCACAGTTCAGAACAAAGAGGGCTGAACAAACCCGGCACTCTGAGGGTGCTGCACAGCAGAGGCGGCCGCGAGGATCTGTGCTCAGGGTGTTCACTGCGGCATCATTTAGAACAGCGGAAAGAGTACAATAAAACCAACAAAGGGGGGTTACTCATTCAATCATGATTTGTCCACATAATTCGGTCATTAAAACTCTTGTCAAGGAAAACTGGGTTTAGATGAAGCCAGGTGCTGAGACGTGGAGATGGAGAGAAATAGAGATGCCTCTCAAAGGTCACAACGACAGTGCAGCGTCTTCACCCCCACCCAGGACCGTCACCTGTGTTGCCCCAGCTGGAGTGCAGTGGCTATTCACGATCACAGCGCACCACGCTACACTGGGAGCTCACTGGGGACCTGGCAGCTCCAGCCTCTCTCTGCAACTCTTGGCCAGCGCAGGGCCCCGGCAGCGCACAGGCACCCCTGCAACGTGCTAAATGAGGGAGTGAGTGAACTAATGAAGGGATAATTAATTAGGAGAAACATCAGCAGATACAGAGGAGAAAGGGAGGGAGATGGGAAAGAATGGAAACAGATGGAGACTGCAAGCCACGGAAACAGAGGGAGACAGAGAAAATGAATGAAAAATGAATGAATAAATGAAAAGATGGAGGAAGGCTATTAAGAAGCTAGAAGGCCGGGTGCGGTGGCTCAAGCCTGTAATCCTAGCACTCTGGGAGGCCGAGGCGGGCGGATTGCTCAAGGTCAGGAGTTCAAAACCAGCCTGAGCGAGACCCCCGTCTCTACCATAAAAATAGAAAGAAATTAATTGGCCAACTAATATATATATATATATATATATATATATATATATATATATAAAAAATCAGCCAGGCATGGTGGCGAATGCCTGTAGTCCCAGCTACTCGGGAGGCTGAGGCAGGAGGATCGCTTGAGCCCAGGAGTTTGAGGTTGCTGTGAGCTAGGCTGACACCACGGCACTCACTCTAGCCTAGGCAACAAAGCGAGACTCTGTCTCAAAAAAAAAAATAAATAAGAAGCTAGAGAAAGCCCAGTGTGGTGGCTTGTGCTTGTGATCCCAGGCGCTGAGGCAGGAGAGCCACCTGGGCCCAGGACTTCGAGGCTGTACCATGATCATGCCTATGAATAGCTCCTGTACTCCAGCCTGGGCAACATAGTTAGACCCCGTCTCCAGAAAAAAAATAAATAAATAAAGGTAGAGAAACCCAGAGAGATCAAGTCAAAACCAGTGGGTTCCTGCCTTAGTTTCCCTGGCAGTTCTGCAGGCCTTTGTCGGGCTGTCTCCCAAGCGCGTGACACCCTGCTTGGTTTTGCCAGTGCTCTCTCAGGCAGGGGACACTGCTGCCTCCTCCCCCCATCACATGCTGGCTGAGGTCCAACCCCAGGAGTTTGACATAAGGGCCTTCCCACCGAGCAGAACCCCACAAGGCCGGCCCTGGGATGACAGCCCCTCCCAGCCTTCATTCCCGCAGCAGTGATGGCTCCTGCCGCCTCCAGCTGTGGGCCCCCTGGCTTGGTGGTGGGGCAGAGGTGGTGACAGGGAATGTCACCATTCAGCAGGCCCCAGAACCAGGCCTACACCAGATTCTCGGCAGGGGAGAAGCCGAGGGGGCTTGCTGCCTCCAGGGAGCCTGGCCTCAATGCCCAGACCCCATATCAGCTCTGGTATTTCCAATTCCCCCAACCATGGAGGAGGGGCTGAAGAGCTGGGAGGGAAACTAAGTGGTAAGTGGTCAGAGCCACAGAATCCCCCTGGGTCCTAGAGAAGGGTGAGTTCCTCCACCCCTACCCCATCTGTCCCTGGAAAAGCCTCTGACCTCACCTCCTCCACTTCCGGGCTTCCAGCCCTCAAGAGAGACACTTCCAAACCAATGGGCTCCAGCCCCCTCCTCAGCCCCCTCCTCACTGCCTTGGCTCTGGGGACTGAGTACCCCCCCATCCTTGCGCCAGATGTGGCTGTGGGGGAGGGTGGGCCCAGGGCCCAGCTGGCAGTGGTCACTGGTGGTCCTCTTCCTGCAGAGTCAGCGCTTTCGGTGCCAGCTTTCGCCAGGCCTCCGCACTCAGCACTTCCTCCAGCCCACTTTCCAGAGGCAGCAGCTGGGGCTGCAGAGGCCACTGCTGCCTGGGGCGGGGCACAGATTCCCAGTGCAGCAGGAATCCCGTCAACAGCCTTGCCTGGGCCACCCCCCAGGTGCCCAGGCCTGCCCTGCGCAGTCAGTGATCACAGGAGGAGGGGAGGCCCAGCTGGGCCCAGTCTGGGAGACAAGGGCAGGAGCACCCCAGGCCCGCCCTTTTCCCTTCCCCCACCCACAGAAAATTCTGACCCCTGGCTGCTTCCTCTGCAAAGCAGTCGGGCATTCCACAGTCCTGCCCCTTCTCTGCTCCCTCACTCCCAGTGGACTTTCCAGAGCCTGGTGTTCCCTGACAGGGAACAGGACCCAGGGTGCTCCGCTCAAGCCCCAGCGACATGTAGCCGAACACACAGTAGGTACTTAATAAAGTCACCCACTGTCAACAGGCTCTTTCAGTATTATATCTATCTCCCTTATACCTCAAGGGTTCCTGGAGACTGGCTCCGAGTGCCAGGAACTGGCGGCAAGCCTCAACCACATGCCTGGCTCTTAAAAGTGTGGGTGTGAATTCCAGGCTCTAGGGACAGGGCTGAGAGAGGAGCTGCCCTCTCCCCGCATGGCTGAGGCCGAGCCCAGCCTGGTGAGGCCGAGCCCTCGTTTGACCCAAGCTCTGCACCCTCCACAGCCCACCCAGGTCTCTTTTAGGCCACCACTGTGCAGGTGTCAGCCTAAGAATGCCAGGACACCGCCAGCTCCTGAGGCCAGGCCTTGCCCTGTGAGTAGACAGGCAGAGGCAGGCAGGTTCCCTGGGCCGGGCTGTGCAGCTGCTGGCTCCCACCCAGCAGGGGCGTCCGAGGCTGCCAGGGACCTAGCCCTCCAGCAGAAGAGGTCAGGGAGGGAGAGGAGAAGAGGGGGAGGACAGGCCCTGTCCTGCACAAGGTCACCCTGGCCAAGGAAGGCTGCTGAAGACAGAAACAGGAAAGGGACAGAGAAAATGGGGCAGGGGGTCACCCTTGGGAGAGCAACCCCTCCTCTCTCTCATAAGTCAAAGAAAGAAAGAAAATAGTGGCCACGAGTCTGGCCCTGTGCTGGGTGCTCTTCATAGTCCTCTCATTCCCTCCTCCCAAATGCGCCAGGAGAACGTGTTCTCACCCCCAGGCTACAGAGGACTCTGAAGCTCTGAGAGTGTGACAGGCTGCCCAGGGGAATGGCCGGGCGGGCCAGGACCCCAGGGCTCCCGGCAGGGCAGGGCGGCTGGCTGGGCCAGTCTTGGCTATGGGAGCTGCGAGGAGGCCCAAGCTGTGCTCAGAGCAGAGTTTATTCAAACAGAGCCTAACAGGAAACTTGGCTCCTCTGACATGCTCTGATTCGACCTTATTAAGAAAAAAGAAAGAGGAGCAAGAGCCAGCATCGGGTAAGGTTTCGCCCCAAGAGCTGGCTGGGAGGCAGAGGCCGGCTGAGTGGGGTAGCCCGTGCCCTGGTCCCCCCATACCCAAAGCCCTTAGGCCGCCCTGCCGCTGCCTGGCTGGAGGAGAGGGGTCCTGCCCTCTCCATTTTAGGGCAGTGGGGCTCTCCACCCTCATAGCCATCCTCTGCCCTCCCTCCACTCCTCGCCCCTCCCTGTCTACAGTATCCTGAGGCCTGTTTCCACTTCTCCTCCTCTCCTGGCCCGGCTGCCCATCTGGCTGGCGGGAGGGAGGGCCGACAGGACCCCTGGGATTCCAGGCAGCTGAGGCCAACACTGCAGGGGGCAAGCAGGAGGAGGGAAGGCTTAACCCTCCAGGTCCCGGCCCTCGGTGAGCCCTGCCCAGCATCTTGCCTGGTATCCTTGGCCACCAAGTCATGCCTTGTAGGAATCCTATCTGGAGTCAGAGACCAGACCCCATGCCGGGGAGCCAAGGTGTCAGTGTTGAATAGCTGCTGGCCAGGAATGGTGTGGGAAGCTCCCCCCTCCCTGGCTGGATTATGGGCATTTAAAGGGCAGACACATGCTCCAGCACCTGAATCAAGCCTCCTTCCTGAAGAACAGCAGGATGGGTGCAAACGCTGCCTGGGGGCTGGGGGAGGGGTCCATGGTTCGGAGTCCAGTGGTCTACATCCAATGTCTCCTCTGGCTGTCTCCTCCAAAGGTGGGCTCCAGGAGTTTCCAAAATAGAGAGGGAATCTGCAGGGGCCAAGTTAAGGGCAGGTTCTTCCCACCTTGTTTATAAGCACAAGAGGGAAATGATGCCCCCCAGTTCCCAGAAGTTGAAGGCGGCAGGGCAGGGGAGGCCTGAAGAGCAGCACTCAGAGTGCAACTTCTCAGACTTCTCCCATCCCTTCCACGCCCAGGGGGAACAGAGAGTCTCCCAAAGCCTCTCAGGGATCATCTGGTCTAATACTCCACTGGCCAGATGTGGCAACAGGATCAGAGAGGGGAAGTAACTTCCCCAAAGCCACCAGCAACTTAACCACAGCCACAGGACTAGGCCAGAAGCCCTGAATCCTCCTTCTGCCGTCATATGCTTACAAGCTTCTCTGCCTGACGATCCCTGTCCCATGTCAAAGGCAGTCCCTGGGGTCACTGCATCCATGTGTACACTCAGGTTATTCCCAGGCCAGGCAGGATCGCGAGAGGCAGGGCAGAACCCACTCGGCGTGTGAGCTGATCTCCCCCATGATTTCACAAGTCCCGTTCAGCCCCGGGACACAGCCCACTCTTCAGACTGGGACAGGAAGGCCCAGAGGTGTGCGAAGCGGGAAAAGCTGAAGCTCCGGTCCCTTTGTACTCAGGCCCAAGAACTGAGGTGCATCTGGGCTCCAGAATGAGAGCGCAGACCCTGTTCAGCACCTCCCCAAGGAGGCCCACCAACAGGAGGATGTCTCTTGGCACTGGCTTTGGGAACAAGAGAAGAGGGAACCCCGGGACCTGGGGAGAGGCTGGAGCACTCAGAAGTCGGGCCCATTCCAGCCCTAACAGGAAGCCAGTGAGTAGTGGAGACCAAGGGTGCTGTGTCCAGAGCGGAGAGGAAGGGGCAGGGTGGTGCTGACGCCCCAGTCCTGTTCTGCCTGCCACAGCCCCACTCACCAGGTCTGAGTCCCCAGAGGCCCCCCTTACTCCCTGCTTCATTCCCTCTGGAAGGGGCAAGTCTGCGGCTTGGCTGGGAGCTCCAGGGACTAAGGTAGCCCCACGGCCGTAGGACCCGCGCATAGCTAAAACCCGGCGGGCCCTAGGGCCCCGCGGAGGAGCCCCAGCAGGCGGACCAGGCAGCCTTGCCCTCCCGGCGCTCCCAGCCTGTTGCTTATTCATTGAGAGTTGGAAAGCGCCGCCGCGGACAGCCGAGCCGGCGGCCGGCCATGTAAGGCCCCAGGCGGCCCTGCCCGCTCCGTGCCCTGCGGAGAGCCTCGCGCAGCGCTGGGCGCCGCCCCTACCCTGCCCTGACCCCTTGGCCTCGAAATGCTGTCATCGGAGGAGCCGTCCCGCTCGGGACAAGGCCAGGATGGACAAAGCTAAAGCCAGGGCAGGCAAGGAGCCGTCCTGTCCGCGAGGCCGTGGGAAAAGCAGCACGCACCGGGGGCCACTCCCGAGAGCCTCTCTGTCCACCAGGCCTCTGCAGAGGGCCCATCATGGCTCTGGGCCGAGCCAGCTGGCAGCTGGAGGTCCTGGTGTGGGGCGCCTGCTTGTGCGTCCTGGTACGCGGGCAGCAGGTACAGCCGGGGCAGGGCTCGGACCCGGGGCGCTGGCGGCAGCTGATCCAATGGGAGAACAATGGGCAGGTGTACAGCCTGCTCAACTCGGGCTCAGAGTACGTGCCGGCCGGGCCTCCGCGCGCCGAGAGTAGCTCCCGGGTGCTGCTGGCGGGCACGCCCCAGGCCCAGCAGCGGCGCAGCCACGGGGGCCCCCGGCGTCGGCAGGCGCCGTCCCTGCCCCTACCGGGGCGCGTGGGCTCGGACACTGTGCGCGGCCAGGCGCGGCACCCATTCGGCTTTGGCCAGGTGCCCGACAACTGGCGCGAGGTGGCCGTCGGGGACAGCACCGGCATGGCCCGGGCCCGCACCTCGGTCTCCCAGCAACGGCAAGGGGGCTCCGCCTCCTCGGTCTCAGCCTCGGCCTTCGCCACCACCTACCGCCAGCCGGCCTCCTACCCGCAGCAGTTCCCCTACCCGCAGGCGCCCTTCGTCAGCCAGTACGAGAACTACGACCCCGCGTCGCGCACCTACGACCAGGGTTACGTGTACTACCGCGGCGCGGGCGGCGGCATGGGCGCGGGGGCGGCGGCCGTGGCCTCGGCGGGCGTCGTCTACCCCTTCCAGCCCCGGGCGCGCTACGAGGACTACGGCGGCGGCGAGGAGCAGCCCGAGTACCCGGCCCAGGGCTTCTACCCGGCCCCAGAGCGGCCCTACGCGCCGCAGCCGCAGCCCCCCGACGGCCTGGACCGCCGCTACTCGCACAGCCTGTACCACGAGGGCACCGCGGGCCTGGAGCAGGCCTACCCCGACCCCAGCCCCGACGCGGCGCAGCCCGCCGGGGGCGCCTACGGCGGCGACCCCCGCCTGGGCTGGTACCCGCCCTACGCCAACGTGCCGCCCGAGGCCTACAGCCCGCGCGCTGTGGAGCCGCAGCCGCCCTTCCGCGTGCTGGAGCCGCCCTACCTGCCGGTGCGCAGCTCCGACGCGCCCCCGCCGGGCGGGGACCGGAGCGGCGCGCAGCAGGGCCGCCTCAGCGTGGGCAGCGTGTACCGGCCCAACCAGAACGGTCGCGGTGAGTACGGCCCGACGCTCCGGGCCCCTCTGTAGTGCTCCTGGTCATGGTGGACTGTTCGAGGCGCCCAGGCCCACTCCTGCATCCTATACCTCCCCTGAGCTGCTAAAGCAAGGACCCCCCTCCGCACCCCACCCTAGCCAACAGCCCCACAGTATCTCGCCTGCCCGCCTCCCCCCAACCCACGCGTCATCAGTGCCAGGGGTTGGCCAGGCAGTCATGGGCTGCGACCCCGGCTTTGAGGGTAGGGGGCAGAGGGACCACCTGGGCCTTGGGAGGAGACACCTTTCAGACCTGGCTTGGGTCATCTGGGGACAGAGGGAAGGAGCCATTCTCCTTGCCTCTCCCTCCTTATAATCAGGGCACCTCCTTCCACATCTGGAGGTGCCCCTGTGCCAGCCCACAGGTGAGGCAGGGAGCGTCAGAGCCTGCATCTGCCCGGCCAGCAAGGGGAGGTGTGGCAAGTGCCTGTTACTGGGCATCTGTGAGCTTGGCCTGAGTGATCCAGAGGTTAGTGCTGGCCTTTGCCCTGGGCAGGAGCCCAGACTAGATGGCCAGAACTCCCTGAGGGGGCGTGTCTGCAAGGCCAGGATTAGAGACATCAGTGAGGCACTGGCCTGGGCACAAATTCGAGGGGTACCCCAACCTCAGTAATGGAGATAAATATCTCAATGAATTATGTAAAAATCAAAATTAATGCAAAAATATCCATGATGAAAAAAATACTCAAATTTTATTGTATTTTATTATTATTTTGTTAGCAACAGGGTCTTGCTCTGTCATGCACCCAGGCTGGAGTGCAGAGGCATGATCACAGCTCACAGCAACCTCAAACTCTTGGGCTCAAGAGATCCTCCTGCCTCAGCCTCCCAAGTAGCTGGGACTACAGATGTGAGCCACCATGCTCGGCCAAAATATTCATATTTTAAATAGAATCAGTACAAGTGCTGTACCGAGCCATATTGGAGCTGAGGCAAACCGAAAAATCATCAGTATAGATCCTGTCTTTATTTGCAATTTGGATATCTTGTTGCTCACAGATTTTTTTGGCATTAATTTTGAGTTTTAAAAATATTGCATTAAATATTATCTTGGCTACCGAGGTTTTTTGGAGCCCCCATAAATTTGCACTCCAGGGCAGGGCCTCACTGCCTCACTCCCCTCACCCTGGTCCTGGCCCGAAGGGAGGGTCCCAGCAGGCAGCTTGGACAGGTCTCCCTCTGGCTTCTCAGGGAGTGAAGATACAACCCAGTCTTGGGATGGCCCCAGCCATCTGCACGTGAGGCTGCAGTGGGGGGCGGCGCCCACACGTGCGTGAGCAGATGGAGGTGAAGGTGCCGTGGCAAGGGCCTGCTGGTGGGTCTGCCCCACCCCACCCCTTCCTGGAATGCTCCTTCCTGCTTTTCTTCCTTAGGGGCAGTCAACTTTTTGGTCAAGGTTTTCCACTCAGTCCCTGATGCTTATTCAGTCCACCCCCACCCTGCCTCTCTCAGGCTGGAGTCAGTTCCCCCATCCGTGATCCTCTGCTCCCACCCAGCTTGCTGTGCCAGGCCCGCGGGGTGAGGGCCAGCCCTGCGGGACCACAGGTGCAGGGCTAGAGGCGCAGCCTTGGGATGATGCCTGTCTCCAGCCACGCTGACCCTGGGTGAGGGGAGCTTGCTGGGGTGGCTCCTGTCTCCCTGAGGACTGCTGGAGCCCAGGGCTAGGGGAAAAGAGTGCCCACCGGTAGCACCCACTTCTCACACCAAGGTGCAGCCCTTAATTGGGTGCTGAATCCCACTTTGAGAACCAGCAGGAGCCCAGGCTGCGTCAGACGCCGGTCCCTCTGTGACGTGAGGAAGGGTGCCTCCGCCCCCGCGGTCCTCACCTGGAAGGAGCCTGCAGCATGCCTGCAGCAGGGCCTATCACAGCCGAGCAGCGACTGCTCCTGGAGCCCCATGGAGGAGAGGGTATTTTACTTACAGGGTGCTGAACTTTTGCGGCAGCTTTTCTTAGAATGCAAGACCTCAGCATGAGGCTCAGGCAGAAGGGCCCCACCTCTGGGCAGAGGAGAAAAACCGAGGCCTCAAATGCCACAACGCTGGCAGGCCCAGGCCTGGGACTCAGCGTCTGGGCTCCAAGCCAGTGAGTGTTCTAGGGCCCCTCTTTGGCCTGTTAGTTCTTAAGGAAGCCAGTTGGTTCCGAGGTTATGGGGCAGGGCAAAGCCTTGTCTGGAGTGGGGTTGCTGGGTGCTTAGCAGGGCTTCTGGTCCCTGCCCCTGAGCCCCACAGTTCACTTTGGGTCAAAGATTTTTCTTCCTGAAAGGCAGTATCTTAGGTGCCAAGTCAAGTGTGCGGACATGCATCTAATCCAGGCCCTGCCCTGAGGGAAGCGTAGCAGCGGGGCTTCTCAGTGCTGGGATTAGGCAAGCATTGGCGGGCCAGGGGCTTTGGGAGCCCAGAGGAAGCTCCTCCTCGGTCAGGGCTGGGGTTCAGGAGGACTCCCAGAGAAGGAGGTCTCCGAGCATTGCTGCAAGGGATGGTCGCCAGCACCTGCCAGGCGCCCTAATCATTGAGGGTGTGGGGTGGGAGTGTGTTTGGGGGTGAAGGCCAGTTTGGGGCTCATGAGGAGGCCAGAGAGGGAGCAGTAGTCTCCCCCATCATTGGTACCTCCCTCCCCACCCTGCTAGGCCGGGACCATGGAAAATCCCAGCCCAGGGAAGGCCAAGCCTTGTACTTGAGATCAGACCCCCAGGCCTGGCTTGGGAGCCCAAGGCAGATTCCCCGAGACTGACTTCATTCCTCCTGGCCACACACTCAGGGGTCTGAGGCAGCGCTGGCAGCCTGCACATGTGTGTGGGTGTGGATGTGTCCTCACAACACCAAACACATGTGAGCACCGCCCACATCCCTCCATGGGTGGGTGGTTTCCAAGTGCCTGTCCTGAGCCTGATTTCTTCCTTGGGTGCCTGCACCCTCTGCCCACCCTGGGTGCTGGGACTACCCCAGGCTTCCTGCAGTTCCATTGTCTCCAACTCTGAAACGTGTAACTGGAAGGGATGAGAGGAGGAAACAGAAGCCCAGAGAGGGTCACATACTTTGCCTGACTGTCACAGCTAATGCCCCAAGAGAAGCCTGGAGGGTGGCCGGTTGGTTCCCAGGCCCGGCTGTGTGTCCTGTGCCGTGCCAGCTCCCGTGATGTGACCTCTCCCTGGACCATCACCGGGCTCTTCTCTCCTGGCATCCCTGCCCCAGCTCTTGCCTCAGCTTCTCTGAGCTGGGGGTCTTAGTGCCAACTAAGCACATAACCCCTGGCCCCAGAAGGCCAAAGCTCCTCTGCCAGGGCCTCCCCTTCCATCTCCGGCTTGACTCACAGGCTTTGGCAACCCTGTGAAAGGAACATGAAACAGGCTGCCCTGGGCATCCTCCCAGGGCATCTCGATGGTTGTGCCAGCCTTGCCTGGCATGTGTCCTCTATTCCTGTCCTCACATGGCCAATTGGAGGCCAGGAGGGAACAGCAGCTGCCTCTTCCCTGGTCCCCTGCTCCAAATCTCTTTCTCTCCAGTCCATCCTACATGTGGAGCAGATAGACCCTTGCAGTGCTGACCAGGTTACTCCCTGCTCAAGAAGATCCTGTGGCTCCCCAGGGCCTTCAGGACAAATCTAAATGTCTCAGTCTAGCATTCCAGAACCAGAGGTTCCTCCCTCCTCTCCTTTCCTCCTCCTTCCTCTCTCAGGCCTCCACAGCCCCCACGGGACTCTGCAAGCTCCTGGGCCGAGATGTGACATCTCCCTACACATGCCCAAGGGTGTTTCTAAGGTACCCCCCTCTCTGTACAGCCTCCTGCTTCCACGAGGCCAGAATGGGACCCTCCGTCCCTGAGAGCAGACCTGGCTCCCACTACCACCCCTGCTGCCTGGGCCATGAGCTCACCTGGGCCTGCCCCCCAAGCTGCCTGCTCCTACAGGTCACCTGCCTTCCTCTGCAGGGCTTGGAGTAGATATAGGGAAGGACCAAAGCAGGCCTCCACTTAACTCGCTTCCAGAGCTGGAACCCCAAGGCAGGGATGATAGTACCAACTTGGCCATTTGCTGACGAGCACCTGCTGAGCTTCGTGGCTTCAATGTGCGGTTTCATTGTCCCTCACAGCCTCCTAGTGAGGGGAGATTATGGTTTCCCTGGTGCAGATGAGAAAACTGGGGCCTAGGGAGGTGGCACAGCAGGGTGCACCTGAGCCAGAATTCAAACTGAGGTGACCCAGAAGGATGCCATGCTCAACCTGCAAGCGGGGTGTGCAGGGCACAGGCGTGAGCCCTCTGCCAGCTGTGCCTCTCTGGGCCTCAGCGCCCCACTGCGTGCAGGGTAGAATCATGCTCGCATTTACCAGGCACTTTGTGCGTCGTCTCCTTTAGTCCCCGGCTCCCAGCCAGGTGCTGTTATCTGTCCCCTTGTACAGATAAGGCAGCAGGCTCACTTGCTGACTTTCAGCAGTGAAACTAGGATTTGAGTCTGTGTGACTCCCCGTCCTAAGTTCTTAACAACCATGTGTTATTTTTAGAAATACGTTTGCTTGGCCTGTACACCACATTCATTCATGCACTCATTTGGTTATTCACTCATTCGACAGGTATTTGACTGTCTGTCTTCTGTATTCAGGGCACTGGCTGTGGCAGAGTGAGATGGGACAGTGGGTGGGAAAGACTTTGGGAGCAAAGAGTGCCCCCCAGTGTGGTGTAGGGTAAAGCCCTGCCATTCTCACTCCAGACTCGGAATGTTTACCGAACAAGCACTCACATAGTGCTTACTGAGCACCTGGTGCTGTTCTTGGAGCTTTACAGTTAGAGCCACTTAATCCTTACAGCCCTACCACTACTGTCCCCATTTTGCAGATGAGGAAACCAAGGCCCCGAGAGGTAAAGTGACTTGCCCTGGAGCCAGAAGCACAGATCAGCATCCCTCTTTTCTTCCCCGCTCCTTCGGAAAAAAATTGAGTCTTCAGGCTGAGAGAGCCGTAGAGGGGCCGAGTCCTCCTCCTGCCTCCATGCCTCCTGCCTCCATGCTTGTCCACGGAGAGTCATTAGTGCCTGAACAAACAAGTGCTGTCCTGAGCGGCCCACCCCAGGCAGACTTCCTGTCTCCTCTCTTATCACTCCCTCGCAAGGCACTTCCTCTCTCTCCTGGTTTCAGACTGGACTGTTCCTGCAAGAAGACAGCCCTGTTTTTAAATAAGAAGAAAGGCTGATATTTATTGAATGGACACCATGCCAAGTATTTTCTTTTCTTTTCGTCCTTTCTTTTTCTCATTTAATCCCCCTAACAACCTTGTGAGATAGATACTATTATGTCCACTTTACAGATGAGGAAACTAAGGCTCAGAGAAATTAAGTAACTTGCTCAAGGTCTCAGGGTTCATCAGTGGCCAAGCTGGACCTAGACTGCCTGTCCCCTCCATTAGGCAGCCCTGGCCTAAGCCTGCTCTGCCCCTCAGGGAAGGGTATTTTATAGTTGTGTCACCTGTCTTAGTCTTCAT